TGCACACCTAGCAAAGAATGAGTAAGCATATTCAATTATTTGTGGGCTTTTCATTTTCTTCCTTAGGTCAGCCTACCCAAATCTTCAGAATTAAAAAAAATGTCATAAAGGCAATGAATAAATTGTGGGCATTAATAGAGGTGGCAAGGCACATCCATCTAAAACCAGTGAGAACCTTCCAGCTGTCAGGCCAAGGCCAGAAGTGCACTCTGCTTCCTTTATACTTCTCATTATCTTTGAAAAGTGAGGAGAGATAGTCTGCTGCCAGAATTCCTGGGTTCATATCCTACCTCTGCTTTTTCTGTGTGGCTTTGGGCAAGTGACTGAGCCCTTCAATTTCTACATTTGTGACACAAGTTAATGAAAGGAACAGGGCTTGGCAGAGAAGAAGCCTTGTGTCAGCATCTGCTAACTTCCAAACTTCCAAGCAAGCCCACACAGCCTTTTCATAGGTTCACTGCCTCCAAAGGATAAGAATTTGTGGCGGCACTTAAATCATTTGGGAACTACATTCTGCAGAATTAAAGTCGGGGCCTCTGACTTTAGGATTTATTTCTATCTCATCGATTGCTTAAAATGGAGATAGATCTAGACGAAATGTTGCTCTCCAAATAACCGAACTCCAAAGGTGACTGAAGCTTCATGGGGTACTTAGTTTTCAAGTATCACTTTATATTTTTGATCATTTGGCTGAATCATAGCCTGTGCTTTTTTTTTTTTGGTAGTAAATAAAGGACTAGACTATGACTCACGTAAAGGGTAGATGAGAGAAACGGGCACCACCACACAGCACCTTCTGCATCGTTGCTTGACCCAATCGTGGATGTTGGTCATTATTGATATTCACACATGCTGAAATTTTTTATTTGAAAATTCAGGCCATGACTGCAATTTACAATGTGAAAAGCAGTATTTTATTCAAGCATGCATTTGTGAGGCCTCTAACTAAAAAGAAGCTGTAAGAGTGTATGCTACTATAGCCAATATAAAAAAATACATGAAGAATGTCAGAATACTGAAGTGCCCAATTTTAAAGGGGAGCTTTTGTGAAGGTAACTCACAAAGAGCCTAACAAATGTTATTCATGACTATCTTGCCTGAGGGTTTTGAAAAGCTGGTGACAGGGTAAAAATCCAATCACTCCACACGGTGGGAAACAAATCATGTCATTAGTTTTCAGCATTTTCTTTTGTGATACACTGCATCTAAAGGCCTGTATAGGCCCTGTATAGATCAGCCATCTGAGGACTCATACTTTGGACATACAGGCATGGCTGTGTTCATTTTAATAAGAACCATGTGTTACAAACAAAACAACATCTGACCCTCATCCTTCAAGTAGTATGTGTGCTTCTCAAGGGGTCTATTCAGCCAGACAGCTGTTGGGAGGTTTATTCCCACATTTTAAACTTGTCTTTGGCTTAAGTGAATTGCTCATGTTTTAATGCTTCTCTGGATATTGTTTTTCACTCCTTTACCTCCTTAGCTGAAATCTTTGGATCCTAGTTCAAGCCTGAAATTGATTTTACGGTAAGGTCAAGTCAAATTCATTTGACTTTTTGGGAGGTGCTCGTTTAGAATGGAAATTCAGGTAAGCTGTTTTTAAAAGATTAAGTTACTCAGGAGTGGCTTAAAATCCATTGAATGTAATGCTTTCTCTGTTTAAACCAGAATAAAACACTTTCTTTCTATTTGAGGATGTTTTCTCTGCATCTTCAAAATATTCAGAGGCTGGATTGGTTACATAGTGAAGATGCTAAATGAAAAAAGTAGTAAAATATTTTAATCTGGACTCTCCTAAAAAGGATCAATTCAGTAAGGAAGGGCTGTAGAACAGCACAGTGACTATGAGCCAGTTAGACATGCTGCGGTTGAAACCCTGTTGTACCACCAGCTGAAAGGTCATGTGAAAACCAGAGGTTTAGTTTCTTTTTCTAGAAAACAGAGAATCCTTGCATGAATGTATTAAATAGCATAATATGTGGTAATATATAATCTAACTCCTGGAAGCAGTGAAGTGCTCAACGAAGTGTAAGTTAAGTATCCCTTACCCAAATGCTTAGGACCAGAAGTATTTGGGATTTTGAGACATTTGTGTACACTTCACTGGTTGAGCATCCCTAACCAGAAAATCTAAAATCCATAATACATTGAAATCCAAAACATTCTAAGAATCAAGTAGGCACTCAAAGGTTTGGATTTTAGAGAATTATGGATTTCAGACATTTGCATTTTCAGGTTAGGGATACTCAAACTGTATAGCTTCATTTCAAAACTGAAATCTCTTGTCTTGTCCACACAAGGGGCCTAGCACATGCAAAGACCTATAAGAAGCAAGGAGTATAGTGATTTTTCAAGCTGAACCAAATTCCTTCTGAGAAGAAAGAAGTGTCAGGGCAGAGAAAGGTGCAAGATGAGGCAGACTCACTGTCTTGTGGTTACACTGTCCCTAGTTCCTCTACTCCATCATCAAATGAATCTGTCTGAGATGGATGAACACTTGACTTGACATGTGCCTGAGATAAAATATGCCTGGAAAGGATGAACCAGAGATACTTGGCGAGGATACATTAATCCTTTTCTTAATCTCTTAACCTACTCATCATTGTGGAGTATTTGAATTTAATATGAGGTTGACATTTATGACTGCATAAACTTCTGAAAGATTACCCTAAAGAATTGAAATATTTACATCTTTATGCAAACTCTTTTATAACAAAACTAAGGCAAACTGAAACAATGAAAGAAACAATGTGGGCTTATAATGGACTTACTTATGACAACTGTGATAAGATAGGATATTGGAGAGGAAACATAGATGGTGGGCCATTTGAGAATTTTACTTGGGTTCAGGTTGTTTCTAATGTATGAATACAAGCTGCTTTTCTTGGTATGGTTATGGTCACAGCAAGGTGTGGGCACCCACCTTTTTCCTTTGGAAGTTCACATCAAGTTTCATTGAGGCACACTTGTTCAACGTATTTAGTCGTCTAAAAAGAAAGAAAAATGTGATGATTGTTACCATTAATCTGGTTTCATAATCCTTTTTCATTTCTAGTGAAGTCAAAAGTGCAGAAACAAATCACTTATGTTCCAAGACAATGCTATACCCCTAGAAGGTGAGCAAGAAAATAGTTTCCATTTCTCTTCTGGCCTCTTGACCTGAGGACTCGCCCACCAAACCTACTAATTCCCCACCCACTCCCTTCTGTACTCTAAATCCACCACTTTTCTGGCTTTTCTTTCCACCAGATGATTGGAACTCATCACAGTAATTTTAGTTATATTTTCACTAGCCCTTCAACTCATTTGTCACTTTGACCTCCCATTAAGTCTACCCTGTTGATCCCCAAATATGAATCAACTCAACCATCTATCTTTTATCTTGCTCTTGGATGGTTGGGTATACATGGAAAGTGACTTAGATTCCGGTGCTGAATTACACATGCTGTGTCCTTGGCCCAAACACACATGTTGAAGCTCTAGCTTCAGCGTGACTGAATTTGGAGTAAGGGGTCATTAAGGGTAAATGAGGTCAGGATATGATCATACCCTGATCAGTAGGGTAAGCAGCCCCATAAGAAGAAGCACCAGAGTGTTCTCTTTCTCTGTCTCTTCTATTTTTCTCCTTTCTCTCTCCTCTCTCCTCTTCTCTCTCTCTTTCCTCTCTCTTTGTCTCTCTCTCTCCTCCTCTGCCCCTCCCTCTACCATTTGAGGACATTGGGAGAGGGGTGACTGTTTGCAAGTCAGAAAGTTAGTCTTCACCAAGAGTCAAATCTTGCCAGTACCTTAAAATTGGACTTTCCAGCTTTCACAACTATGAGAAATATATTCCTGTCATTGAAACCCCCAGTCTATGGTATTCAGTTATGGCAGCCCATGCTGACTAATGCATGGATTTCGATTTTCACCCTCAGCTGGGCTCCCAAAATTGCTGCCTAGCAGAATTCCTTTAATTTTTCTCTCTGTTTGGCTCCCAATCTCAGATATCAAAAAGACCCCATTCCTGACTGATGACTTAGCCACTGCTTCCAGCTAAGAAATAGAAGCTATTTGATATTAGCTCTTTAATAATCCTTTCCATCATCATCAATTGTATCTACATGGTCATTTGTCCTGATGCTCTTCTCTTCTGCCTTATAAGAAAAGATGGTTCTATTCTTTTTCAAAGTTAACCCCTTAACTTTGTTTAAAAAATTATTTCAACATTACCACTTCATCTGGGACTTTGCTACCTAATTTATTTTCTGTCTCTTCAGTAAACTCTCTCAACTGCTTTTTCTCTTTAAGCCCATTCCTGTCTTAAAAAAATTGACTAGTTAATCAGTTAGTTACCTAAATAACCATAGTAACGCAAACTATCAATATTCCTTTAATCCTGTAGTCTTCCCACTTCACTACATTGATTACTTCAGTATTATCCATCCTTTTACTACTCCACTTGCCGAGAACATCATTGACTTTCATTCACTCTTCAATCCTCTTCAATTTCACGCAATTTTCTTTGAAAACATCTATATTATTTTGTTTTATTTGATTTCTTTTTTAAAACCACATATGTTTTAAAGAGTCAAACATTATGCCTATATCTTTTTCCACTTACCACTCTTGGTAGGCAGCTCTTTTAACTCTTGTTTGGCTGTTTATTTCTAGCATCATGTTTGTGCTGTTACTTTGTGATCTTTCAGTTTAGAGAATTATCTACTGAATTCTACTGAATTTGTTCTTTGGATGTTGAAGATTTATTTTCTATTGCTATCCACTCCTCACATCTCTCTCTCTATCTCTCCTTCTCTCATTCTTTGCCTCAACCAAATGTAATTGTGTCATAATTTCATAATTTTTGATAAATAAATATCCATAATTTATTATGAACATGGAAATTTTGTTGACATGTATATCATATTTGAATAATTTCCCTTTCATTCTCAAATTTTCATTATCCGTAGTTTGTTTCCTTAATTTTCTATGTGCTTATCCCTAAATTCAAACTTCACACTTCCCCAATTATCTTAACCTTTAAGTGTTTTCTATTATCAGATTATCCATCAATTTAGTTTGCTTAAAGACATGTCTCTCAGAGACTTTTGATTTGTCCTAGTCAGGGTTTTCTGCTCCTCCCCCCTTTTAATCATAGGTTAGTCACATTTCTCAGAATTGAGACTCCTCTTGAGAATGTTTTCTACTGTTTTGAAAATGAATAATAGACACTTGCAGACATTAACATTTAGAAGTAAGCAGACTGTTACATAAGCTCCTGCTTCCAGTAGAGTACCCCACCTTCCACCTTGTTCTGTGTTCCCCATGCTAGGGAATTTCTGGCTCAGCCTCTCGAAGGATCAACTTCTAGTCATCTGCTGATGGTGAGGCAGAGAGAAATTGCTTAGGTACAGAATGAAGAAGTAGCTCTAGGAATCTACCTGCTTAATGTAATTTCAAGCAATCCTCTTTTTATTATGACTTCACCCTCACCACCAAGTTTTGAGTATGTTAGGGTTTCTATTGTGGAAATTGAGTTTGTTATGACTTTCTTCTTTGACCACATACTCTTTGTTTATTGGGCTTGCTAAATCTTCTACTACATATTTCTATTTTCTGTTTTGAAACTGTTATAGTTGTGATTTCTGTGTGGGCATCTGCTTCTGTGAAGAAATGTCCATGGAATCCGGTGAGAATTTAGAAGCAAGCAAATTCAGGTGGTTAGCCTCTCATCTTTGATCAATGACCTTTTTTTATATGCAAAGATCTTAAGTTTTCAATCCAGTGAGGTTTTGGCTACTGTAAGTACCCTTAAACAAGAGGAAGAACATTCACAACAGAAAGTTCTCTTGTGTTCCTGTCCTGCCAATTCTCCCCGTCTCTACACCTCTTCCCACTACCCCTGGGCATTCTCCTTCTGACTTCTGTCATGACAGTTTTGCCTATTCTTGGTTATAATACAAATGAAATCATATAGTGTGTATTATTTAAATGTATGGCTTTATTGTTCAACACATGTTTTTTAGACCGAACTGTGTTGTTGAGTATAGCAATAATAATTCATCTTAATTGCTAAAAAGTATTTCATGGTATGAAGCTGTACAATTGGTTTACCTATTCTGTTGCTTAAGGACATTTGGGTTGTTTCTAGTTTTGACCAATGATTTTCTAACTATCCAATCCTATATCTTCATTTTAGCAAAGATCTACTTCTACCAGAGGACACTAGTTACCAGCCACTATTCCTTTAAACTTTTCATCTTTGTTATTCAAGATTGTCAATTCTCCTATCTCTCTGAATACCATCTCCTATCAGTACTATCTCCTTAATTATTAAAATACATGTATATATAGCCCTTATTTATATGCAAATATACATTAATAGGGTATATATATATACACACACACTTATATGTAGAATTCAGACTGAAGCTTTTGCTGTTTTTACTCGGCATGGTCATATTGAAATATTTAATCTCATCTAGAAATAAACTAGACTCTGTCTAGTTTACAATCCTTTATTTCCAACCCATCTGACCCAAACCCTGGAGCTACATTTCTTAAGTACTCACTGTTCTCACTCATCTATGGCATCTTGTTGGCTCTTCAAATTCTAATACCAAAACTGAACTCATTTCATTCTCTTCATAGCCTATTTCTTCTATTTACGGTCATGTTTTGAATAAAAGCATCATCAATAGGCCACCCACACTAGAAAACAAAGTCATCCTGAGATACACATTCATTGATTACTAAGTCTGGCCAAGTATATATCTGCCATATTTCTAAAGTCTTGCCTCTCCCTTGGCCCAAATTCAGGTCCTTCTCATAGAGTCCTTTCACCTGGAGTCAGGCAACAGCCTCTTAATTGCTTTTACTATTATTTCCAATGCTTTACATTGAAACTAGTTCTATTTCTTTACTTCTTATCACATTACTCATTGACTTAAAAATATTTGATTTTCCTCATTTTCAGCCATCTCCAGTTTACCCAGTGACTATCTATTGATAGTGTCAAATGAAATAGGCGATTCTGGATTAAAAACTGATCATCTGGTCTAAAGCTGTCTTTAGTGAGTTCTTGGCTTTTGCTGCTACAACTAGCAGTTTGTTTTTTTGGCAGGTTCCACATTTGTTAACATCTCTACCTAGGAGTTGTGTGTAAAATTTAAAAAAAAAAAAGATGCTCTTTTGGCAGCTCTGTGGTGGGTTTGTTTAGGGAAGGACTGCCAGTTATTTATATTTTCTTATCTAACACACTTGTTCTTCCATTATGGTTGGAAGCACAAATAAACCATTCTACTCTATAAAGTTTTTGATCTACTATATACACAAAAGACATCAAAGGGCTTGTCCATTATATATCACACACTTAATATGCTTTATATTTCTGATACATAGAAAGTTTATTTATTATTTTTTAAAGCTAAAGACTAACTAGATTTATCTTCCTAGATGTGGGTCCTTTAATTACACAGAAACTCAAATCTGTCTGAATCTTAAAAGATGTTCAGAAAACATATAAAGAATGTGAAGACTTGTATGCAGAATACATAAGGAACTCTTAAACTCAATAATAAGTCAAACAAACTGATTTTTAAAGAGTGCTAAATTTGTGAACAGACACTCTGAAGATTACAAATGGCTAATAAACACATGAAAAGATCATGTCCAGCATCATTAATTGTGGGATAAATGCAAGTTAAAATAATAATGAGACACCAGTACATGTGCACAAGAATGCCCACATTAAAAACACTGAGAACACTGAGAGTTCAAAAGAATGCAGAACTTCTGAAACTTCCAAAAGGATGTAGCTTCTTTGAAAACTGTTTGGCCATTTCTTATATAACTACACATATTTTAAGCATCTCACCCAGAAACTCCACTCTTAGCTATTTATTTAAGATAAAAGAAATTATGTCCATGAAAAGATCTGTACTTGAATGTTCATAGTAGCTTTACTCATAAAATAGTCAAAAAATAGAAATAATTCAATGTTCATCTACTG